AGGCCCTCTTCTGGGACTTTCTGGGACTTTAGGGACTTTAGGGTTTTGGTTTAGGGTTTAGGGTTTAGGGTTTAGGGTTTAGGGTTTAGGTTTAGGGTTTAGGGGTTAGGGTCTAGGTTGGGGTTGAGGGTTTAGGGGTCCAGGGTTTGGGGTTTAGAGTTTGGGGTTTAGGGTTTTCGGAGTGTGAGTGGTTTTGCAGAGGTGTGTATGGGCTTCTAGATGCGTGGCTCTGAGGGTTACAGGAAATTTATTTCTAGGATTTCGCTGATCTTAGGAGCCTAAACCCTAAACCCTAAACCCTAAACCCTAAACCCTAGTCTGGGCTTCTAGAGGGTCTTCTTGGGGTGCTCGGGCTTCTGGTTGTGTTGGGGCTTTGCATGGGACGTAGAGCTCGGGGTTTCGGATGCAGGGTGGGGTGGTGGTGAGGATGCGGTTGATGATATAAATCCTAGGGTTCCTTTAAAGGGATCTATAAGGGAACCTTTAAGGGGTTCCTTTAAGGGATCTATAGGTGGGTTTAGGGTTTAGGGATATAAATCCTGCATTACCCATAATAAGGAATATACCATAATTCCCATATATTCCTTATTATGGGTACTGCAGGATTGATATCATCAACCGATGTGAGGGCTCCAGGCGCCAGGGGGTCCTGAGCCGAAGCAACACGAACTCCAAACTCTGAACCCCCGAGTCCAAATACCAAGCCGTAAGCCCCAAGCTCCGAAAACTAAAGCCCACATGCCAAACTTGAAACCCTGCGTTGGAGTGCTAGATCTTGCGATGTGCGCAAGGTGTAGACGCACATGTTAGGCTAAGCCCGATCCAATTCTGTCTGTTGCTGATGCATTCGACAATCGTGATGGTCATTCTGCTTGTTCTGGCAATCGTGACTTTTCTGATAGCCTGACGGGATTATGATGATTCTTCTTACTGCTTTGAACAAGATCCACGACTGTTCGGATTATCTCACCCAGATGAGTGCAACTCGAAAGCAACGGCCCAAAACCCATCAAAACGCTCAAAACCCTAAACCCTGAACCCTAAACTCCCAGCAACCCTAAACCCTAAACTCTAAACCAAAGCCCAAACCCTGAACTCCTCGCCTTGATATGAAAAACGCAACCTCAGCCCGGAGCGGCCCAGGGTGGAAGGACGGTTCCCAGAGACCAAACATCGGTACCTGGATGGTGGAGATGGTGCGTCCACCTCCGACCGACGTAAGCCTTTAGGGTTTAGAGGTTTAGGGGTTTAGAGGTTTAGGGGTCTAGGGGTTTAGGGGGCTAGGGGTTTAGGGGTTTAGGGGTTTAGGGTAGGATTTGAGGACTCGGATTTGGGTATCCAGGTTTAGGGTTCGGGAGTCTAAGGGTTTCAGGCCTTACCAAGCGAGACCTGGGATACCCACTTGACGATCGCGGAACCCGTACCTCGCCTTGCTCTCTAAAACTTCAAACCCTAGTTATATGCAGAAGAGCATCCCAGAGTAGATTGCTTGCTCCGGTGCTGCAGCCATCTCGGTTTGAGCGCTGATCCAGAGTTCCCGAACGGCTCAGAAGGCAGCGTGTTTCCCTTCGCAGGAGTTTCTGAGACCAAGCCACAGCGGCTGAAGTTTTCGGATGTTTTGCTTGGGCAGGCGCGCTTCTGGCCAGTATGGTGGGGAGCAGTGAGCGACTTCCCCAGCCTGGACCAAGACCTCCACTACTGGGGGGTTCTATCGGGTTTAGGGTCGGGATAGACGGGGTTTTTGGAGACACATGCATGAACCACGGGGTTCCCTGCCGGGTGGATCAGTCGCCTTCTTTTCATGAACTTCGCGTTAAGATGTAGAAATGGGTGAGGGGCGGGGGGTTCTCTGGTGATGATAAGGCTGCTGCTGCCGCTGCTGCCGCTGCTGCCGCTGCTCCCTTGCTGCTGCTGCTGCTGCTGCTGCCACTGGCTTTGCTGGTCGTGGTGGTGGTAACGCTGATGAAGATGATGATTTGTTCCTGAGGTCCGGGATGATCCAGCCGCTCCCCTCCTGCCTTCTACATGGACCGTCCCAGGTTAAAGAAGGAGAGCTTCAAGATCACCGGGGATCCGAAGAAGCCGGATGGCCCATGGTCTCAGCTCGTGGGGGCTCGGGGTCCTTGCCTTCTACTTCATGCCTTCGCAAGGTAGGTTTCGGCTGCCGCAGGGAGGTGCCGGATTTAAATTACTAAACTGTGGAGTTGCGTATTTCTGTGGGGAGGGCCTGGCCTCGAAAAGCCATGAGGCGAGTGGCAGCCGCCAGGGGTTGGTCCTAGTTGACAAGGTGCGGTCTTGGACACAAGTGTGAGGGTGAAGCGATGTTACGAGAAGGCTGGGTACAAACTCGCTTCATCGAGTCCGTTAAGTTTTCCGCAGTGTTCGTGCAGTGCGAACAAGCTGCTGATTGTCGTGTTCGTGCCGTGCCCCTACAGCTTACGCCTCAAGCACTACAGCGCAGACCCCACACCCTAAGCCCATAAGCCCCAAACACACAACTCCATGCCCAAAACCCCAAACCCCCAAACCCTCAAACTCCAACCCCTGAACCCCTCAGCCCTAAAGCCCACACCCCACGGCCCGCGACCATCAGGTGCCCCAAACTCCTTTGTGAAGATGACCTGCTCGCGGGCGAACTTCCGCGCTGCCGGGTGGAAGGCTCTGGGTTTCATACGGGATTTATGTTTTTTTTTTGAGGGCTTTTAGGGTGTTTTCAGTTTTTTTTTTTTTTTTTTAAGGGTTTTTTGTTGATGTTGTCAGAGGATTCAGGGTTGCAGGGCTCGGGGTTTGGGGCTTGTGGGATTTGTGTTAGTCTCTAGGAGCCTACGTGCATATACGAATATGTATGTGAATATATGTAAGGATGGATAGGTAGGTAGGTAGGTAGATAGAGATCGAGGCCTCTGCTTCTGAATGGTCTGAACATAAATTAGCTTCACTCTCTGTCAGACCGTATAGAAACCATCATACCACGTTTACAGAAAACCTTGCAACAGCCAAACACTACAAAACCTAAAAACCAAAACCATAAACCGTGAAATGACGCCTCCGTCAGTATTTCAGGGTCGCTGTAGAGTACAAGTAGCCCTACAGGGCCCTCAAAGGATAAAGAACGACTTCGAGCCCGCACAATCCAGTAGGTCCCAAAACCTCCAACTTCTGTGAGGAATCTGCCTGAACTCCTTTTGTGGGCTTCTGGGTTTTGGCTCTTGGGGCTATGAGCTCGGACGGATCCAGGGGTGGGGCTTCCAGTCGAGCGCGCTCAGGGTTTTGGTTTTTCTGGCCGGGGTTCCGAGTCAAGGAGGTTTTCAGGCGTTATGTGGATGGGCGGAGGTTCGAGATGAAGGTCAAGGCTTACATCAAGGCGTTAGAGAAAATCTTGGTTTTGTTTGGGACCTTCGGCTGTGCAGGAAAGAGCCAAGCTCGACGGCTGGAAGCTGTTGCCCGCTTTCAGGACGATGACTTCGTGAAGCCTGTGATCACTATCGCAGCCCCGTGCGCCCAGTGGAGTGTGTTGAGTGTCCATGGCAAGTGTCCATGGCATCACAGTCGGTGTGCTCTTACTAGGTAGAGAGTATCCAGCGTGCGACTTCCCGCGAGTTGCTGCTGGGTCGTGTGCCGCAACCGTCAAGGTATAGCAACAGCATGCCGTGCAACAACCAGGCCACAAGATCAGTGCAGCCTGTGCGAGCCTCTTGTGACAAGAAGTCGTGAATTGGGTCTGAAACCTAAACCCTAAACCCAAGTCTCCCAAACTCTCCACCTTAAGCCCCAACGCCCCAACACCAGAACCCCATGGCTGTCGGCTATCTTACCTTTGGTTAGTAGGGAAGAATGGTAGTAATAGTAGTTATAAATTGTACCCCATTCCTCCATTCCCTACTAACCAAAGGTAGGCTATGAGACCCGTGGGGAAAACCCTGACCTCAGTTCCGGGACTTGGCGGACATCCTGGCCGAGGAGGCCCGGTGCTCCAAGCAGGGTCCAGAGACTGCAACACCAGATACTTAATTTGATAGAATATGATATAATCGTATATAATATGATAGAATATGGCAGAATATGATATACTATGGTATAATATGATATAATATAACATATGAAGGAGTGTAACTTAACTTTTGAGCTTCAACAGGAGCCATTGATATGATTGAAGGGAGCGGGGTATATTCCTTAGTTAAAGGGTTTTGGAGTCCGCGGGCCGCACCTCAAGCCCTGAACCCAACCCCTTATTCGGCCCCCGAAAGAGGAAGGGAAATTGAACACTTACCAACAAATACTAAGCCTGTCTTCACCTCGAGACTCAAGCCGCCCTAAATCCTAAACCCAACGCCAACGCCTGAAGCTGCATCCCAGACCTTTAAAACCCTGAACCCCAGGACACCATCAAGTTTTCCTCATGCGCCCTTGGAGATCTTGAGCCTCAGCCTCGTAACTTATGTCGGAACGGGGCTTTGTAAGTCAAGGAGACCTAACCCTTGGGTCCTCATAGCAAAGATCTGTCTTTAGGGATGTGTATTTGGCTCCCCGCACCCTGAGAAAGGCTTCCGTATTATCTGAAACTCCCTATACCCGAAGAAGACGCCTCGCAGAACATAGCGACTTGTTCCGGCACGCAGCTTGAAGGCACAAAATGTAGCTTCTTACAACGTCCACGTGATTCGAACCCAAGACCCCATGCCAGGCACTACGGAGGCTCCAGGGTTCAGAGTTCACCAAACCCCACCTCTAAAGCCCCAAATGCTCAACAACTAGAGGGCCCGGCATTCTCAGGATCCCAGATTCCCACACCTAAACCCTCAACTTTTGGCCGTGGTTTCTGTAAGGGTTGAGGCTTTCGGGTTTAGGGGGGTTCTAGAATTTCTACAGAACCCTGAAAGTATCCCTGAAAATACACCCTATCCCTCAACCCTAAACCCCTCAACCCTAAAAGCCCCTACATTACCATTGATACTAACCCAAACCCCAAACAAGTCTAGAGCCTATGGCGCGCGGTCACCATGGCTGACGCGGCGGACAGGGCCTGGGCCGAGCTGAAGCGAGGCTGGGGGGGGGGTCCTCTACATGGGTGGTTGTCAAAATTAGGGTACCTTTTTGGGTCCTTATTATAATACGGCACCTAATATTTAGGGTACCCCAAAAAGGGGCCATAATTTTGACTACCACCCACATATCAGGATGGATTCATGGTTTAGGGTTTCGAGTTCAGGATCGCTGGTTTGTGGTAAGGCTTCAGGGGGTTTTCTAGGTCGGGGGTCTAATCTCGCAGCATTTGAAGTTGTAGAGACTAAGTGGTTTTGCTGCATCCAGGCTTAAAGGGTGAGGGGTATGATAGATCTCAGCAGGACCGTGTTCTTAGGCGTCGCAAATATACCAGCACAGAGGTCGATTCCAGTCGGAATTCCAAGGCTCATACTGACCATCGCTAGTGCCAACTCGCATCACCAGCAACAAGAGCTCAACGCAGGGCAAAGAAGGAACGAGCGAGGGGTGATCACGATTCAGCCTCCTGCTGCTCCAGCTCCTCCTGACCATAATTCTGGTCGTACCACTACCCTCCAAACCCTAAATGCTAAAGCCGTCGTGGTTCTCCTCCCCATACCTTCGTTGGTAGTGCACCAGGTTTTGGGATGCAAAGAGTTTAGACGATTGGAAGCCGGGGAGCGCTAATAGCACATTAGAAGAAACCCAAAGGTTTCGGCTGAGGTCTTTGGTAGCAGGATAAACGTTTGAGGGTTCAGGCTTTGAGGGTTGAGGGTTTCCAGGACTGCGGTCTTATGGTTAGATTCGGTTAGATCATAGGTTGTGGCTTTGGGCTCAATCGGCTTCAGGATTTTGGATTTGGGGGTTTGGGGGGTTTGGGGAGGTACCGGGGCTGGGGATGGCAGTCGTCTGCTTGTGTGGTTCAGATGTTGAGAGCTTCTCAGGTTATGGGGAGGTTTGCTATATGTTTGGCTGAGGTCTCGACCTCGTCTGAAGTTCAGGTAAAACCCAAGCCCTAGACCCTACGGTCGAGAGCATCGGGTTTTTGGGTCTTGAGCGCTGTGCGTGACGGGAGCTCTGTGTCAGGCCTGGGCATCGATGGCAGTGCTTCCTTGGCTCCCGAGCTGCAGAACTTGCCCCCTCCAGCCCGAAAATCTAGGCCCAAAGCGAGCCCAAGACCCGACTTGCAGAAAGTATTTCTTGTGCCTCTGTGCTGCCAGCTTTTACTTTTCTGGGAAACTATCAAAACTACGGGTAGACAGAGTCCGTAGCAACAGCAGCATCGATGAGTGAGCGGATGAAAAGACGGTATACATGCAACTACAAGCACAATATGCCAGCCCCCGTGCTGTCAAAATGTTTCGACCCGTTCGATCATACTGACAAGAGCAAGATGAACATCGTTCCTACGGTCCATTTTATCACTCTTATGGCAATTATTACTATCAGTAGGATTTCGTTCCCCTGCAACTAGGTTCCTGAGTGATACCCTTTTTGGGGTCTCCTTATTAAAGCATAGCAGTAGGAATATATAGATTTATTTTTATACATATACATATATATATATATATATATATATATATATAATGATATATATATATATATATATATATATATACATAGTGATATATATATATATATATATATATATATATAGTGGCTACTCACGAACCCTGAACCCTAAGCCCTCAACCCCACTTACTGCCATCATTAGGACTTCGTTCCCCTACTTGGAGGTTCATGGGCAGAAAAAAGAAAGGGTTGTAAGTCCCCTGACATGGATTATAAGTGTAGTTACCCTACTTATGACCCTACTTGTAACTACCCTAAACCCTAATCCCTAAACCCTATAACCCTATAGATCCCTTTAAAGGAACCCTACTTATAACTACTCATGAGCCTCCAAGTAGGCCCTAAACCCTATACCCTATAGAACCCCTATAGATCCCTTGAAAGGGACCCTTAAAGGAACCCTTATAACTACCCATGAACCTCCAAGTAGAACGACTGGGGACAAGGTTCGGGACGTAGTAACTAGGGAGTTATAACTAATGTAACTACACTTATATGTACTTATAACCCCAGTTAGGGTACATATAACTGTACTTATTAAGTCCCATGAACCTCTAAGTTCCCTTCGAACGACTCAGGACAAGGTTCCGGATGACCTCCTGGAGGCTTTCGAGCGCTGGCGTCGCACTGCTGACGGAGAGCACCACGGGATCAAGTCCCTGGGCTCTTGTTTAGGGTTTAGGGTTTAGGGTTTAGGGGTTTGAAGGGAAGTTGCCATAATTTAGGGTTCCTTTGAGGGTTCCATAAGGGTTTAGGGGTCAAGGGGTTTAGTTTAAGTTGCCATAACAAGGAAGCCATACTCTGTACTATAGATCCCTATGGTGGTAACTTAAAGTATAAGTTACCAATATAAAGAAGCCATACTTAATATTTATTGTAGATCCCTATTATGGTAACTTAAATTAAGTTCCTTAACACGAACTCAGGTACCGCCTGAAGACCATGCTCTTCTCGAGGCAGGGCCAGGGTTACGGGTTCGCGGCAGCAGCTGTTGTCATAGTACTAGCAAGCTTTCGGTTCAAAAAAGTGGAGCGTGCTGCAACAGGGGACCCTAATGTGGTACCCTAAATAATAGGATCCTTATTATAAGGACCCCCAAAAAAGGTACCCTTAATTTTCGGAAGCTCCCATGTGGAGAGGACTTGTTCAGTCCAGTGAGTTGTGACATGTGGAGCCTGCCCCTTGTGCGCGCGAGCGTCCGGAAGAGACTCCTCTGCCTCCCCTCAGGCAACCAACGCGAGACCGTTGCCGCCTTTGCTGGACTTGTTTGTGGAAGGAATGGCTGCAAGCTGAGTAAGGGCTTCAGAGCGAAGTAAGGTCTGACAACGGCCATTCGCAGCGGCATTCCGTCCTCATTGCGTGGCACAGTCTGGCTCCTCTGACTGGATGTGGGGAGAAGCTTGAAGTACTGAAGCTGAAAACGTCGTTCAGCAAACTGCATTGCGAGGTTTAGCTTGGCGGGAGCAGGATGATCTTGCTGTTGCATACACCATGTTTCTCTGAAATCTGCATCTCGGCAGTACAGCATGTCAGGTATTTGTGCAGCGGTGGTCTGAGCAAGAGGCGGCAGAGTTCAAAGTCTTACGAGGACCTAGCGGCTTGGAAGCACGCAAGCTCACTCCTCCCCCTACTAGTACCACAGGGACCACGACGACGACTGCTACTGCTATTGCTACTGCTACTACCATGACGATGCCGACTGCTGCTAGTGCTAGTGCTACTGCCCCTACTCCTGCTCCAACTCCGACTCCTACTGTCACTGCTGCTTCTACTTCTATGACGGCGGCAGCGGCGACGGCGACGACTACTACTCCTACTATTACTCCTACTACTACTCCTTCTACTGCTACTCCTACTACTACTACTACTACTACTACTACTACCACTACTACCACTGCTACCACTGCACTACTACTACTACTACTACTACTACTACTACTACTACTACTACTACTACTACTACTACTACTACTGCTACTATACAACAACAACAACAACTACTACTACAACTACAACTACTACTACTACCACTACTACCACCACTACTACTACTACTACTACTACTACTACTACTACTACTACTACTACTACTACTACTACCACTACTGCCACTTTGGCTACTTCTGTTCAGAGCCAAAATGAAGATGCCCATGGTGTAGTGTTTTTCTGCAGAAGCATTGATGTGTGAATTTGTTATTCTTTTTGTTGTTGGGCTGATTCTTTCGGGACTGTGATTCAGATTCTGCAGGTTGTTGCTTCTGCTGTGTGGTGAGGTGCGGGAGGGCCACTGTGCAAAGAACACAGTGGCTGCGCGAACGATTGCCAACGACCTTCCGCGAACGGGGTGCGAGGAGAATCTGATCTCGCCCTTGGAGAATGTGCTCCTAGCATATGCAGTTGCTCGCCAAATCGAAGGTCGCCATCTTTTTCTGATGCTTCTATCGATGCCCGATGATTGCTTGGAGGAGTAAGACAGCTAGTAAGAGGAAGGCAGCTGCATCCATGAGTTGAGGTGCGGAATCCAGTCATCGGATACTGCCAGTCTATGAACTTTATCGTTGCCACTTTTCTGCTGTATCATGGCTGCACATCACTGGCAGAACCGAGATCAAGATATTCACAGTTTCTGCTAAAGGGCAGTTGTGCGGCATGAGAATGTTCGCAGGTACTGCTGCGAAGAGCACGCATTTTGGATGCTCTGCAGCGTGATTGAAGAGATCATGCCTATCGGCTACTACACCGAAGACCTTCGCGGGTTGCGCTCCGCACGGATCTGAGTTGACGGGAGTGCGTGATGGAAGAGTTGTTTCACAGACTCCATGCCATTGAATCACGGACGGAGCCGAGGATCTACACGTTTTCAATTGGTGTATCGAGCAATACTTGCCGCAGCTCTACCAGCACTTTTGCAGGATCAGCAGCCCGCAGCAGTATCACCAATTCTGTTCCTTACCGTCGTTGCTTTCGTCGTCCAATGTCACTGCTATTCCGAGTTTACTAGTGCGATGACTGTTAGTAGCCCACATACAAGCCTTAACCCTGGACCGTGAACCTTACATTCACTAACCACGAAGCACCGGCTGTTCCTTTACCAGTCCAGAGACTCCAATATCCCTTAATTAAGGAATATACCTTAAATCATATAAGGGATCCTACCATAATTTAAGGAATATTCCTTAATTAAGGGATATTGGAGTCTCTGGGGTCTTGCTGTTCTGCAAAGACCAGACCAGAGCTTTGTCACCCTGAGCAGGAATGCCATTGACGCGGCCCCGATTTTCATGAACTGGTTCCTCTGCCTTTTCGTGGCATCCTCGGCTTATGTGGACCTACATGTCATGAGGGAGCAGAGATGGAGAGCGAAAACTGGGAGTAGTGACTGTAATCGTACTGATACGCAGGAATAGTGAGCAGAGAAGAACTCCACATGGGATAGAGCAGAGTAAGAGGCGTGGTAGGGGCAAAGCACGTAGTATGCATAGTCATAATATCAGACTAGCAGCTTTCGCAATGATCGCGTTTCGAGTGGTACGAGTTCTAGCAGCAGCAGACGTGATGCCAAACCTATTGTTCTGAGCTTCTCTCGCACATGTGTCTCAGTCTAAGATAGCTAGCGGCACAAAGGCAAATCGTGTTTCAATATTCATTTCATCTAGCATCCACGGTGATCACAGCCGCACTGGCGATGGCAGTAGTGCCAATGGTGATATCTATCTTCGCAAATGTCAGCGATGCTTAATGCTTGATCGGCAAATCAAGCGGCAGTATCAGAAGTGATACGATTATGGGGCTGCTAGCACTGCTGCTTGATGGAAGACACGATCTTACACGCATCGCCATCAGTTTTGGTGTTGCAAGTAACTGCTAGTACCCAGCTAGTGTAACCAGTACGATTACTTCGACTGTGAGCAACTTTGCTGTTGAAGCCGTATATAAGAGTGGGAATGCTAACAATGTCGTAGTAACAGCCAGGTGAGACAACGAAACCTGAATGGTCGCAAGCTGCTGCTACTGATGATGATGTTCGTGCTGCTGGTAGCGGTAACACGTGGAAGAAATCAGCATGCTCATGGTGGCGCATAAACGTACCTTTGGCTAGTAACGAATGGAAGAATGGTAGTTATAGTAGTTATACTTGTACCCCATTCCTCCATTCCCTACTAACCAAAGGTAAGTAGACCCTACTACACACTTGCGAAGGTTAACACGCTGCCCCCCGAGCATGCGCATCGAGCTCTTGACTGCACGCTTCACGAGGGCCACAAGGCGCTCTTCCGCATAGGACCTCCGCCGTCTTTGCGCCTGTGACGGCCTTCGACATCTTTTCACACGAACTCCGAGTGTGTGAGGTTGGAAGTTGCAGTGCTTATTGTTCTTGAGGTGATGAGGAGAGTAGAGGCTTAGTCTAAACTGCACGCGCGTCGGAAGGACTTTCGATCCTGGCCCTTCGGCAGAAGGAACTGCTCAGCGCCACCAATGTGGTCGAGGCTCGGGTCACCTCCTCAAGCTGCTAGTGCATTCGAGGACAGGTGGTCTATGCTGGCCAATCGACTAAGTAGTAAAGATATTTGTCGCCGCTGGTGCGGTACGGTTGCCGACACAACACCGTTGCCGACGTCAAGGACACCGTGGATTTTGCCGCCACAGTGAGCATCCTCGCCGTTGTCATCATCGTTTTCTTCGTGGTCATGGTTGGTGGTTTGGTTTTCCTGTCGTCGTCGTCGTCCCGACCGCCGCTGCTCCAGGCGACGCGATCGTGGTCGCGGTGGTTGTCGCGGTCGTCGTCGTCGTCGTCGTCGTCGTCGCCGTCTTCGCAGTCGTCGGCGGCAGTGGCGTTTCGGTCGTCGCTGTCGTGACCTGCTGGTCGTCGTCGTCTGCGTCGCAGTCGTCGTTTTCATCGTCATTTCTGTGACCACAATCATCATCGTCAGCATCCTTCTGCTCCTCCTCTTGATCCACCTTCTCGTCCTCCGCCTCCTCCTGCCTCCTCCTCATCATCATCAGTACTCAGTAGCACGACTACTTCATTTCTTCGCGGAGCAGCCTTAGAGAGCCGGCTAGATGCTGAGGGTAGGAAGAGGATTCAGCGTAATGCCACCACGAGGCGGAAGTGACGGTGAGCAGCTTTTTGGTTCTTTCGTAAAGGCCACGAGACGATGGCCACTAAAATGGATGGTAGCCTGAAGTCTTCGTAATGTAGGGTTATTATCAATGCTATTTTGGGGGTTCCTTAGTCTAAATTAAGGTATAATGGGCCCCAAAACCCCATGTAATGATTAAGGCCCCCATATTACTGCCCAGAGAGCCCAATACCCCTTAATTAAGGAATATGCCTTAAATTATAAGGGGGGTTCATATTATGATTTAAGCTATATTCTTTAGGAGTATTGGGCTCCCTGGGTGCCTTCTGGAGAGGCCTACTCATACCTTCGCCAGCCGTTTGGAGAGATGCAGCGGGCCCCCAGCGAAGAGCTGAACTTTGTGGATATCACGTCCAAGCAGATGCTCGACGCTGCATATGGCCCACTCTTCAAGAACTTCAGGCACGGAGCCCAAACCCTAAACTCTAAACCCTAAACCCTAAACCCTAAACCCTAATCCTTAGAAAAAAAAACCCTGAATCCTGGGCTTAGGGGGGAAGGGTTCATGAAGAGAAAACCGTGTGAGCAGGATCAGCCTTGGACGGCAAGGTTCAGTCAGAACTCCAGACCACGAGCGACACCCTAAGCCCTATAAAGTACCCTAAATCCCAAACCCTAAACCCTCCAAAGCCCCCTTCAGTAGGGTTCGGAGGGTCGCCCGATGCTTTTTCAGAGAGGTCGGCGCAGATCGCGAAGATTCGGGAGATGTGCGTCGCGCGGGTGCAAGCAGAGGATGAGCAGGCACTGTCTGCTCCCGAACCACTGGGAGTTAGGGTTTAGGGTTTAGGGTTTAGGGTAGGGGGACCCTTGGGGATATAGACCCTCTCAATAAGGCCCCTTTTAAGAGAGCCAGAAGTAGGGTTCAGAAGGGGTACCCTTTAAGGGGTCTCCCTAATAATACTACCCAAACACCAGAATCGGAGCCTGTAGATTCATAAGGACAGGCCCACCTAAGGAAGTATCGAACCCTAGCTTACCCCTTAAGGGTCCTATGATAGATGGTGTCCACGAAGAGATGCCGTAGGTTTTTCTCGGGAGGCTGCTGCCAGAAAGAAGGCGTGGGCAGCCCAGAATGCCAAGCCACAGGCGACTGAGGAGCCTCCAGTGAGCCTACACTTTGGGGTTCAGGTAGGGTTGGGGGTTAAGGGTTTAGGGGTTTGAGGTTTAAGGGTTTGGGGTTGGGGGGGTATCAAGAAGCATTGGGTCAGATGAACGTGAATCGTGAAGGGTGGAAGCAGATGCAGCCCCCGCATCCACTTTACCAGCTCTGCAACCCTAAGCCCTAAACCCTTATATGAATATAGGAACCCTTGAAGGAACCCTTAGAGGACCCTTAAAGGAACCCTTAGAGGACCCTTAAAGGAACCCTTAGAGGACCCTTAAAGGAACCCTTAGAGGACCCTTAAAGGAACCCTGCTGTAGTTTGGCCCAAGGTCGCAGCTGCTCAGGGTTCTGCATTGCCCCCGAGTCTCCTACATGGAGTCGGCATGTTCAGCCGAATCATGTACCCGATGCGATCCCCTAAACCCTAAACCCTAAACCCTAAATAAACCCTAAATAAACCCTAAACCCTAAATAAACCCTAAACGCTAAATAAACCCTAAAGCCTAAATAAACCCCAAACCCTAAATAAACCGTAAACCCTAAACTGGCAACCAGGGCCTAGGACACGATGACAGCAGGGTGACTACACTACTTTGGCACTGTAGTTCTGAAGGATGTTGAGCCGCACATCTTGACTACACCCTAAACCCTAAAGCTGCAACCATAAACCAAACCCCAAACCTACAAGCATAAGCCCTAAACCTACAACCTACAACCCCTAAACATACAACCATAAACCCTAAACCTACAACCATAAACTCTAAATCTACAACGAAAAACCCAGAACTAGCCTATCTCCAGTGGTCCATGATCGCCCTGAAACGCAAGCAGCCGGAGCCGACAGGCGGTGGCCAGGCGAGACCCGCTTGCCTCAAAAGGGTTTAGGGTTTAGGGTTTATCAACCTTCAGATTGCTATTTTTTAAAAAGAGAAAAATTTCCGTCAGATTGCAACTATTAAAACTGCGATTACTACGATAGCTACAATTACTACGATTTATTTTCTATTTCTTCTTGTCTCATTGGATCATCAACCGTTAGAACCTCTAGCAGAATCTCCAACTTTTTCGTCTTTGAACGAACAAACAACTCTTACTACTATGGCTGCGACTACCACTATTAAAGTTACTCTATTTCAACTAACACTACGAGTACTACGATATCAACAATTACTACTATTACTTCCATTTCTTCTATTCGTGTTAGTTTCTGCGATAACTACTATTTACCACTATTGCCCCTTCGGAGTTCCCAGAGCTTCCAATATCCCTCAATTAAGGAATATACCTTAAACCATATAACGGATCCTACCATAATTTAAGGAATAATCCTCAATTAAGGGATATTGGAGTCTCTGGGTCCTAAACCCTACAGATCCCGTATAGGAGCCCTTAAAGGAACCCCTATAGATCCCTTTAAAGGGATCTTGGAGTCCCTGGGTTCTTCGAGGTCTTCCATCTGGGCAGCGATGGGCGGAGCCGGCCCGCGCCAGACCGCGAGGCCGTTCACCGGGAGCTGGCGACGATGAAAGTGGGCCTCCTGGCTCCACGTCTGGGGGCCCCTTCTACGCTTTTTGTTTCAATTGTTTGCTTTGGGGGTTGATATATATATATATATATATATATATATACACACATACACATACATAGATAAATAAATAAATAAATATATATATATATATATATATATATGCTCTCGGGTCCCGGGCCGCCCCCCCCCCCCCCCAATGGTATCCCCCCCACCCCCCCTGCTGCCCTGCTGCTGCACGCCCACCCGCCCTGCCGCCCGGCCCGCACCTTGCCCGCCCCTTGACCTTGTGCGCGGATCGGGTGTCGCACTATGCCCTGCCGTGTGCGGAAGCGGCAATCGGCGCAGGAATTTCCAGCATCTGACATGAATTGCAATGCTGAATTATGAGGATTGTATGGCGATGGTGATGGTGGCAGATATTCCTTTGAAGGTATTAATGATGAAGATGACGACGACAAGGATTATGTTGAGCATGGTTTGATTGTCGACTCACGTCCCGGTCTAGAGCAGCACAACATCATGAGCAGTATCACCGGTGCCACAGCAAGAGGGAAGACAAGGAGTAACACATAAGAACGTCGTGGCAAAAAAAGCACCACCACAGGCCCCACACCACAGGGGGGGCGGGGGGGAAGGGGGGAGGATACCATGGGGTGGGGGGGGAGGGGGGGTGTGGCAGCCCTGCATCATATATATATATATATATATGTATATATATATATATATATGTATAAGCACATATGCATCTAGTATACAATATATGCTATATACCATATGCATATACGTATATCTACCTACACAAACCTAAAATATCTGTATACATACACATTTGCAGTTTTTTTGGGGAGGGTTCAGGGCTCAGAGCGTACATTCGTGAACAACAGCGAGAAGAAGACCGGTTCCAGGAATGTCCGGAATTTTTGAGTCGAGCTTAAAGCCCGAAGACTTGAGGCCTGAGCGGATAGCCTCTTATCGTTCCCTGCCCTGCTCCAATCGGAGCTGAGCTCAAGCTTCGGTAACTGTTTCTGTCAAAGTGCCACAAGTACTTACCCTCGGTTAGTAGGGAATGGAGGAATGGGGTACAATTGTAGCTACTATTACTACCATTCTTCCGTTCCCTACTAACCAAAGTAGGTGCTTTTGGGTTCTGGATTCCCAGTTTATGGGATGCTCTGCGTCAGAGCTGACCTGAGGCTTCGGGAGGTACAAAACCTTGAGCTTCCAGGAGTTGGCAGATGAGGAGCACGACTACTGCAGCTGGATCTTAGCGCAGAACGATACCAACAACATGCGGATGAACAAGTTGCAGGCCTTCCTTCGAAACCTCTCGAAGTTGAAAGAACAGCGAAGCGAGGTGCTGAAGGAGTCTCAGGTCACCACGGCTCTTGCAAGTCATCCCGCCAGTGCTCCTGCCGCTCCTGCAAGGGTTCCTGCAAGAGCTCTTCTCAACGAGGAAAGCGTCCGAGCCGAAGCTGTCAGGACGACTGCAAGGCCTTTGGCCCAAAGCGCCACAGCCGCCGCAGTAAGCAAGCTCCTCTCCATGGGCTTCCAAGAGGAGGACGCTGTGCGAGCACTGGCCGACACTGGAAACAGCCTGGAGGCTGCGGTGGCGCTCCTCACCGAGCCTCCCGAGATCCCTCGTCCGGCCGAGGCCGCCGAGGTCGCAGAGGTCGCCGAGGTCATGGAAGTGCTGCCGAGCCCACCTCGCTCGCGGGCGCCTGCTGCGGCGCCCGCGCCTGCGCCGGCGCGCGTCGTGCGGAGCCCGGCGCTTCAGCCTCCGGTTGAGACTCAGAGGGAGCCAGCCGTAAAGATCAAGGCAACGATTTACTGCGATGATAGCTCTGACAGTGATGTGCAAATTGCATTCGACTAGCTATGCATGTGCCTGTCGCATTTCGAGCGGGGGATGTCTCGGAAGTCTGTACAGCGCGGCACCTCAAGTGACAGAGCGGAAAGCAGAAACGAAGGATGCGAGGTTATCTGCAGTTGTTGCACTGTCAACCTGATGTTGGGTTGAGGGTCTCGGGCCCACGACACTCGCCACGTCCAGAGGGAGAATCGGGAGGGGAATCAGATGCCGAGGAGCGCAATGATGTCAGCTGTGATGATGGCAACGGTGTTGCTTGCCACATGATGCTTCTGCGGGGCTGCAGTCACTGATGCTGGTGACAAACCGTATACGACGTGAACATTAAGCCTCAGTGAAACATGCCAGACGTAAGCCTCGGGCAAAACTTAAACCCTCAACCATGAAACCATGCTCTCAAATCATGGACATGCCTGAAGCCACAGATCCCAGGTGCAGGCCCAACTCCGATAATCTCAGCCCTGAACTCAGACTCACCTGAACTCCTGCGCTCCAGGCTATCCTACTTGGAGAGTCGGGGGACTTAGTAACTGGTTACTTTAGGGACTAGTGACTAATAAGTACCATAACCCCAATTAGGGTCCATTTTAGGGTGCTTATAAGTCTACTGACTACCTACTTACTAAGTCCCCCGACCCTCCAAGTAGAGACCAAAACTCCAAACCTAAAAGCCTTGCTTAAACCGTCAACCTTCGCTCCCGAAACCTCCAAACACCTAAATCCCAAAGCCTACTTGGAGGTTCATGGGTAGTTATAAGCAGCGGTATAAGTCATGGGTCATATAAGTATAGCTACCCTACTTATAACCCTATTTATAACTTTCCATGAACCTCCAAGTAGTAAACTTCTCCAAACCCGAGAAACCTACTGGAGAGGCCTGAGTAGCTAGCACTAGCACTTGCTGACGGGTCCCTTTTATGTAGATAAACCAAAGTTCGCTTCTAAGTGTTAATGCCCCGATGTGAAACCCTATCTCCACCCCTCCTGAACCCTGTAACGCCCTACACCCTAAACCCCGAACCCCTAAACCCTGAACCCCTAAACCCTAAACCCTCCTAAACCCTTAACCCCTACAGGCCCTAAACCCTCTGCTATATGGCGGTCTTTTCGCAAGGAGCCTCCGGCGCCCTCCTCTTCGCCTCCGCCGGCACAGGGCTTTCTCAGCGCCGGCCCGAAGGCGTGGAGTCGTCATAGTAATATTTAAGAAGAATACAACTCATAACAGTAGCAATAATAATAATAATCCTAATGACACAAAACAACCAATATTTACAATCATAATAATACGTGTAATACTAATCATAGCAAGATTGCTCGCAATTCTGAGATAAGCCGCAAAAGCAATAGCAACGACGGTAACAACCATGAGTATGCTATGGCACAATGTTGCGCGTAGTTACGAGTAGTAAGTATATTCAATCTGACGGTTTTTTCGCCCTGATCAACGATTTTAGTCTTCTTCGCCGCCTTATCAACGCGAACTATTGTTCTTCTTGGCGCCATCGTTGCTGGATTTTTCTGTTCAGTCGGACTTTGGGACTTGCTGCATTAAGGTCCACGAGGGGTTTGGGTTTGGCGCTCCAGAGTACGCATGTACCGGGTATGGAGTCTGGGGGTTTAAGCTGCATCTCAGACTTAGGGATTGCTTAAAGGATCGCTTATAAGCCCACTTAAGGTACTTATAACCTGACTTACTAAGTCCAATGATCCTCCAAGTGGGCATGGAGCCCGAAACTTGACTTGGTTGATGTTCGCAAGATGTTGGCAGGTACAACTTCAAGGCCTTAAGCTACCCTGAAACCCTAAGCCTTATAAGATCCTGCTCTACGTGGTGCTTATGAGCGCGTTTGTCTTCGAATCTGAAAGTCATAGAGTTGCGATCCGACGCCCTTGGCCCTAAAAGTCCCGAGGCCTAGGGGCTTTGGGCTTCGGGGCCGGGGGGGGTTCGTCTTACTACAGGGGCCTAAATAATTAAAAGCTACTATTTTTTGGGTTCCTTATTATGGTTATAGACTAATGGGACCCCAAACCCTTATTCTAATTATTCTTCCCCCTTTTCTACCTCACCCTCAGCCCTAAACCTCCAGCCCTAGGCCTCGGCGCTAAGCCCGAAACCCTGAGTCCTTAGAGCCTTCAGACCCTAAACCCTGGTCACCCTGAACCGATGAACCTCTAAAACCCCTGAACCCCTAAACCCCTAAAACCCCTAAAACCCCTAAAACCCTAAAGCCCTAAGCCGCTAAAGCCCCAAACCCCTAAAGCCCTAAACCCAAAAATCCGCTGCCAGGAGCTCCGCAGCGCGGCCAGGGAGGAAGCGGCCTGGGTAGGGAGAGGGGGGTGCGCATTGGCATCAAAGCCTCAGGCTGCATGCTTTCAACCCTAAGCTACGTTGTTTAGGGTTCAGGGTTGAGGGTTTAGGGTTTTGTGCAGGGTCTAAGCTTAGTAGGGTTTTGTGTTGAAGTTTAGGGGTTGCATTTCGCAACCTTCAAACTCTCCAAACAATCATGACAAGGCCAGTGAAGAATCAGCTTGTAACCTCAAAACCTTGAAGCCAGCCAAGAAGCAAATAATTGGATACCCTGAGCCCCAAACCTCTGCACCGGTAAAGCTGCGGTTTTGGGGTTAAGTTCTGTGGAAACCACCAGAAGAACACCATAAGACCTTGGTGTTCAGGGCCCAACATTCCGAAGTCTCCCTAAGCCCTAAGCCCTGAACCCTGAACCTTAAACCCTGAACCCTAAACCCTAAGCCCTGACATTGAGTGGGAGAAGTCTTGGACCAGGAGTTGCCCCAACCACCGCGCAGCACCCCTCGGGCAGCGGAATCTACGGAGGAGGTGCAAAGACTTCAAAGTCCAAACCCTCAACATCCAACCCCTAAAGCCCACACGACCACACCCAACCGAAGGCCCAAACTCCCCTAAAACCCCAAACCCTAAAACCCCAAACCCTAAAACCCTCCCAAAAGCTCCAACCTGAGAACCCTAAAGCTCCGGCTCCACACCTCCAGCCCTTCAGCCTTTTTCAGGTCGAATCCTGGCTCTCCTTCGTGCGGATCGGCAGCGCACCCGAGATGGCCGAGCCAGGCATTGACTTTAGGGCTGCAGGGTTTAGGGCTTAGGTAGGTTCCCTGTTATACATTAAAGTATAACATGCCCGAAAACCCTATTCTAAGTATTAAGGCCCCTATATTAGGCTTTACTGTAAGGCTTAGGGCTTTAGGGTTTCAGGGTTCAGGATGTACGTTCAGGCCTTGAGCGCAGCCCAATGCGGTCAGTGCGGAAGGCCATCACGGTGACGGCTGCTGAGGCCCGAGGTTCGATAAATGTTTTGAGAGGGGGTAGGGTTTAGGGTTCAGGGTTTAGGGTAGGGTTCAGGGTTTAGGGTAGGGTTCAGGGTTTAGGGGTTGGGGGTTTTGTGATTGGCTTGGTAGGAGTCCTATAATGGTGGTCTGGAATTGTGTTGATAGGCGGTTTGATGGTTTTGAGAGCTTTTTGTCAGGGTCTTTTCATTGACCCAGGGTTTCGGGGTCCTGTTGGTCAGGATCTCAGTCTTCGGGGTTGAGGGTACAAGTGTGACCTACGCAGGCCGCGCGAGCGGTGGCAACGCCCACAGCGAAGCCGGTGGCATTGCCCGTGGCAGCGCCTGTGTCAATACGACGCCAGGTCGTCGTCAACCAGCTGCCTCAGAATTTCATGCCCTACCCTTGCACGGCCAGCAGTGGCCAGGCGACTTGTCGCGTTGAGCATTCACTGTTGGATGATTGCATTGTGCATTGCATCTGCTAAGCATCCCGCATCAACCAAGCCCCCTAGGCTGTGCTTCGGGCCCACGTGTCGGGCAACGGCATCAAGTCGGTGCGCGTCAGTCGTGCGGGGCTGCAACCTTCCAGTGGTCAACCTGCGGTGGTTGTGCGTCACCTGCCAGTGGCCCGAGTTCTAACGCCAACATCAGGCTACAGTGCGCTGGCTGAGAATTGGAGTGCTGACACACCGGGCAGTCAGGGAACTTGTGCTGCGAGTGCTTTAACATGGGGATCGGAATAACTAGTAACGTTTTTCTCGTATAGTCACAGTCCATAAATTTAGTCTGGTATAGTCATTGCCAGAGTCTACCCCCAAAACCTAACTTATCCTAACCAGTAGACTATAAGCGACCCCAAAACCTAACTTATTCTCACAGGTCACTCTGGTGTGTGGACGACCCAACAGCGACCGCTTTTGCCAACAGCATCGGCCTCCTTTGGCACTCCGCTCCTCAGCCGCAGAGCCCTATGAAAAGCAGTTTTTTAGCATCATTGTACCTAGTAGTATTGTAGCATTATTGTGTAGTAGTATTGTAGTAGTACTTGTAGAATGATAGTAGTATCGTAGTATTCTTGCAGTATCTTGATGGCAGTATTGCATTTTTGCAGTATGGTTATAGCATCATCATGGTGTTGCCATGGTAGTACTGTGGTCTCACCTTGGCGTTCTTATATCACCATTATGGTATTCTTATGGGGCTGCGGTGATATTTGTAATCGTATTCTTTTTCTTATTATGGTTTTCATTCTCACGTCCACTTCAGGAAACCCTAAGCCGTAAAAGCCCGAAGCCCTAGAGCAACATGGCGCTAAGCCCTGAAAACCTAGACCAAGCTATCTGCCTTTCCTTTCTTTGCCGAGGACTCCCGTGCTGCATCGTATTGCAATCCCGCCCGCATCGATTGCGTTACAGCGGACAAGCACCCGGTGAGCCAGGAAGTTTAGTGCAGCCTGGAATCACTGAGGATGTTAGAATGTTAGATTAGATGATAATCATGACAGTGATGATAGCAGTAGTTGTAACCATGAGAATGGTAGATCACTACTATAGCTTGTGGTAGAAATCACGCGAGTAGACGAGGGTGGCGATGAGTGGCAGCATGACCATTCGTCTTGCCGCCTCAGAATTGGCAGATATGTATATAAATATAGATCTAAAAAAGTAAATAAACAATATATATATATATATATATATATATAAATAGACACACGCAATGTCCCGTTCGTCGCGGAGTCCATATGCTTCCAGGAGAAATCATCCCACAACCCTATTCTAAATGACGCCCCTAAAAGCTATACAGGGCATCTTAATCCCTAACCGCCAAACCCTAAACCCCAAACCCTAACCTCATCTTTGGAGCGTCGACAAAAGTCGATGGACTCCTCATGTCTCCGGGACACTGCAGCCAGGACCTGGAAATGAAGCCCTGCTTTGGCTGTAGGGTTTCTGGCTCCTTTAAGGGCTGCTTTCAGGGTTGCCATAAGGGCTAGTGTCAGTAAGGGTTACTATAGCGGTTACTACTCTAGGGGCCTTCATAATTACCTATATTATTGTCGGGGCTCCTGATTATAATTGTCATATAAGGGGCCCCAAAACCCCCTATCTTGATTATTAAGGCCCCTATATTACTACGAGAGGTGATTACTATGCGGTTTAGGTTTTTTTAGGTTTTCCGAGACCTTTTTGGGGCCGGGGATCAGGGTTTGATAAGGAGGTCGAAGTTCAAGGCTCCAGCTCAGAGTTTAGGGTTTTGGGAGGTTGGAGTTTAGGGTTTAGGGCTTGGAGTTTGGGGTTTAGGGTTTGGAGTTTGGAGTTTAGGGTTTGGAGTTTAGGGGTTAAGGTTTGGAGTTTAGGGTTTGAGGTTTGGAGCTTAGGATTTGAAGTTTAGGGTTTGGGGTTTAGGGTTTAGGGCTTCGAGTTCAGGAATGTAGGTTTTGATTTTAGGTACCTGTTGTTGAGCCCTGACAGCTGGGACTGGAGCAGGTGGAGAAGCTGGGGGGCAAGGCGCACTTCTGCTTCACGCCGGGAAGCTCGGAGCGCAGTGGAAGAAGAGAGGCGAAGCGGGGCTCAAGACCCTACACCCTGACACCTAAACCCGTAAAACCATAAACCCTATATCCCCCGTAAATCCTAAGCCCCAAACGCCTTTCCATTCAGCCCCTCAAACCATACAGTCCTCAATTGCTCAGAATCCTCTTTACAGGCGGAGGCCTTAATTATCTCCCCCAAATGGGAGTTTCCGAAAATAGGGGACCCTGATATAGTACCCTAAACAGTAGGATCCATATTACAAGGACCCCCTAATTTGGTACCCCTCATTGTCGGAAACTCCTAAACCCTAAACCCTTTATAGAACCCTTATACATCCCTTTAAAGGAACCCTTAAAGGAGCCCTTTAAAGGTACCCCTAATTTTCGGAAACCCCCCCCAAATGCCCGGAGAAATCCCGGAAGCCTCACCGAGGCTTCCTTTAGCTACACGAAAATGCCGCCGCCAAACCCCTTCTAAACTCTTAAGGCCCCGATCCACCCTGGCCCTATTCCCTAAACCCTAAATCCTAAACCCCATTCTAAACTCTTAAGGCCCCGATTCACCCTAAACAAAAAACCCTAAACCCTAATCCCTAAACCCTGTTCTAAACTCTTAAGGCCCCGATTTTACCGAAACACTCGGACGCTGAGGCCTGTCATCAGTGACGGCCAGAGCCAGGGGTGCAAGGCGATGAGATACTCCCTCATCAGCCGGGAGGCCGGATCAGGGAATCCCTAAAGGAACCCCTTAAGGGGGTTCCCTTAGAAAAGGAGCCCTTCAGAAACCTGAGGAAGTCATAAGGGACTTGGATTTTTTGGGGTTCTGGGCGTTGAGGTTTTGGAGTTTCGGGTGGGCTTGTAAAGCGTTTCTGGCTTCAGGTTTTAAGGTTTGGGTGGGAGTGGAGCCTGCGCGTGCAAGGTGATCACAGATTGCATCGAGCTGATGCACGAGGGCTACCATGCAGATGCCATCATCACCCTGGCCGGCTGCGACAAGTGCTGCCCTGAGCAAACAGAGCGGGGCCCTGGCCCCGTGAGCTTGTAATTTAGGGGCCTTGATAATCACCTATACTATTTTCGGGGTTCCTTATTATATTTATAGTATAGAGAGCCCCGAAAGCCTATTCTGATCAGTAAGGCCCCTGTAGTAACTCCTTGAGCCCAGGAGCGTGCCTGCATCCGTCATGCCACTCGCACGGAAGGACGGGGAGGGTTCGGGGAGGGGAAGAGATGCTTCCCCAGACCTTCCAAAATCCCTTAATTAAGGAATATATACCTTAAATTATAATGGGATCCCTAGTATGATTCAAGGTATATTCCATAATCGAGGGATTTTGGAAGGTCTGGGTCGATCGGACCGGAATGGGTGAAACCCGAAGTCAGTCCGAAGCTCCGCAGCCGACAACTTCTCCTGCTTGGAGGATCATGGGACTTAGTAAGTCAGGTTACAAGTACCTTAAGTGGTCTTATAACCCCAGTTACTAAGTCCCATGATCCTTTAAGTGCTTCTTTCGCTTCTGTCGCAGCCGTGAAGAGCAGATTGATCCGACAAGAGAGAAGTTTCTTCGAAAGGCGCTTTTCGAGCCAACCTAGCAGTCTTAAGCCAAGAGAGGTCAGGAAAAGCCGTCAGTTTTTGCAAGCAAATTTCACATTGCTATTCTGGTGAGTTGTCGTAGAGAAGAGCATCGTGTGGCTTCGCTTCTGTCCGATAGTTTCGTAGACGATGGCGGAAGCCACTGTTGTGTTTTGTCACTTGTCATTGCTATTTCTGACTGTAAAGTCGATATCACGAGAGCTACAGCCTCTATGAACAGTCCTACTATCGCGGCTTCTAATTATTCTTTTTCTCATCATTTTCATCGCGTTGCATTCTCTTTCGCTTCTACCACTACTTCTTCCAGTGCGGTTACTGCTGATGGTGCCAGTGCTAGTGCTAGTGCCGGTGCTGGTGCTGGTGCTAGTGCTACTGCCACTGCCGCTGCCGCTGCCACTGGCACGGGCACTGGCACTGGCACTGGCACTGGCACTGCCACTGCCACTTCCACTGCCACTGCTACTGCCACTGCTACTGCCACTGCCACTGCTACTGCTCGTGCTGCTGCTGCTGCTGCTGCGACTGCTGCTGCTGCTGCTGCTGGTCCTACTACGACGACGACTACTACTGCTGCTGCTGCTGCTACGACTACTACTACGACGGCGGCGGCGGCGACGACCACGACTTCGACCGCGACAAACGATTTCGACTGCGACGACGACGTCGACGACTAGTACTACTACCACATACGACGACAACGACCATCACTGTCTCCAGTTGGCCCTCCGCGCCCGGACATCAACCCTAACTGAGCCTTAAACCTCGACCAAGTCGAGAAAAACCATGGAAAACGCCTTGTACACGCCAAAAAGACTTTCAAAAAGACACTCCCAGACCCTCTTAGAATCCCGCAGCCCCAATTCCACCCTTTTGCAACCTTACGAATCCTGCTATCCCAAAACCAAGCTCGCCCAAACCCTAAATCCACCTAAACTTAGAACCTCTATCTTAACCTGCTCATAGTAGCATTTATATAAGCCCATTTAAACCCTAAACCCTAAACCTTAAACCCTAAATCCTACACCCTTTATGTGAGCCCCTTCTCCCAACGCGGATTTCGCTTCAGGACCTCCTCGGCTTGTCGCTCTTCGGAGGGCCCGCGCTGCTCTCGCCTCAGAGGGCGGGGCGCTCCCTTTTGAGAGTTTAGGTTTAGAGTTTAGGGTTGTTTCGGGGCTTCGTGGTTTTTGGGTTTTAGTGTATTTAGGAACTTTTAGCACTTTACGGCTTGAAGGCGTGGGGCGATTTTGAGCTAGGGCTTCAAGGTTTCGGGCTTTGGGCTCGTGGGGTTTGGGGCTTCGGAGTTATATCTTAGGGCTTCGGATGACTTCTCGTGGTACGCAGGTTGAGAGAGTGATCCATGACAGCGGAACTAAACCTCAAAGACTAAACCCCAAACCCTAAACTAGAAAGCATAGACCCTAAACCCTAAAACCCAAACCCCAAACCCCAAAAGCCCCTAAACCCCTCAAGCCCTAACCCCCAAGACAGTCCTTGACCCAAACCGTAACAAGGGCCTTAACCCCCTGAAGCCCTCAAACCCCGAGATCCCCAAACCCGAAACCCCAAAAGCCTTTGACCCCAATTAGTAATAAGTCCTTACCCGCCGAAACCACCCGAAACCCTAAATCCTCAACCTAAACCCTGAATCTCCCAAGCCTTAAACCACCAAAAGCCCGAAATCCTAATATGCCCCCATGAGCTCCAAGCCCTTAAAAGCAAACCCTTATGTGCCCCACATAGAACCCAACCCCCAAACTCTCAACCCTACTTGAAGGTTCATGGGTAGTTATAAGCAGGGGTACAAGTAGGGTAACTATACTCATAACTCATATTGGGGCCTTATAACCCTACTTGTAACTACCCATGAACCTCCAAGTAGTGGGTTCCGAAGCCCCTGCGCGAAGCTCCGTCGAGGCCGGGTATCCATCCGGGAAGCTGCCGGAAGCGGGGCTCCGATGGCGAAGCGCGTCTTATCGGGTTTCCTTTTAAGGGTTCCTCAAGGGGCTCCTTGAGGGGTTCCTTAAAGGGTTCCTGAAGGCTTTTGGGGTTTAGGGGTTTGCAGAGGTCGGTCGCAGATGCAGAATTTTGCAATCACTGGTAGTACTCTGACACTATGGCTTTGGTTTCAGTTAGCCTTTCTTGGATTGTCGTCGATATCAGGAATCCTCAAATATTCTCTGGGCCGCATTCGGGATCCTGTCTGTCGGCCAAGCCATTGCAGCGGTCTTGATTCTGGCTGAGGGATCCTGTTCAGACGGAGTAGCTGCATAGCGAACCCTAAAAGCCCTAAAAACCCTAAACCCTAA